CTGGTGTGTGGTGGTGAGCCTACTGGCGTGTGGTGGTGAGCCTACTGGCGTGTGGTGGTGAGCCTACTGGCGTGTGGTGGTGAGCCTACTGGCGTGTGGTGGTGAGCCTACTGGTGTGTGGTGGTGAGCCTACTGGCGTGTAGTGGTGAGCCAACTGGTGTGTGGTGGTGAGCCTACTGGTGTGTGGTGGTGAGCCTACTGGTGTGTGGTGGTGAGCCTACTGGTGTGTGGTGGTGAGCCTACTGGTGTGTGGTGGTGAGCCTGCTGGTGTGTGGTGGTGAGCCTGCTGGTGTGTGGTGGTGAGCCTGCTGGTGTGTGGGGGTGAGCCTGCTGGTGTGTGGGGGTGAGCCTGCAGGTGTGTGGGGGTGAGTCTACTGGTGTGTGGGGGTGAGTCTACTGGTGTGTGGTGGTGAGTCTACTGGTGTGTGGTGGCGAGTCTACTGGTGTGTGGTGGTGAGCCTACTGGTGTGTGGTGGTGAGCCTACTGGTGTGTGGTGGCGAGTCTACTGGTGTGTGGTGATGAGCCTGCAGGTGTGTGGTGGTGAGTCTACTGGTGTGTGGTGGTGAGCCTGCAGGTGTGTGGTGGTGAGCCTACTGCTGTGTGGTAGTGAGCCTACTGGTGTGTGGTGGTGAGCCTACTGGTGTGTGGTGGTGAGCCTGCAGGTGTGTGGTGGTGAGCCTACTGGTGTGTGGTGGTGAGCCTACTGGTGTGTGGTGGTGAGCCTGCAGGTGTGTGGTAGTGAGCCTATTGGTATGTGGTAGTGAGCCTACTGGTGTGTGGTAGTGAGCCTACTGGTGTGTGGTGGTGAGCCTACTGGTGTGTGGTAGTGAGCCTACTGGTGTGTGGTAGTGAGCCTACTGGTGTGTGGTAGTGAGCCTACTGGTGTGTGGTAGTGAGCCTACTGGTGTGTGGTGTTTTAGGAAGAACAAGTTGGGTTTAAGATGAGCTGTGGGAAGGGAAAGGTGTTAGCCTGATAACAAGAGTCACATGTCTGCTCTTCTACACACCTGTGTATAGTCACATGTGTGCTCCTCTACACACCTGTGTATAGTCACATGTGTGCTCCTCTAGACACCTGTGTATTGTCACATGTCTGCTCCTCTACACACCTGTGTATAGTCACATGTGTGCTCCTCTACACACCTGTGTATTCTCACATGTCTGCTCCTCTACACACCTGTGTATAGTCACATGTGTGCTCCTCTACAGACCTGTGTATAGTCACATGTCTGCTCCCCTACACACCTGTCTATAGAGTCACATGTCTGCTCCTCTACACACCTGTTTATAGAGTCACATGTCTGCTCCTCTACACACCTGTTTATAGAGTCACATGTCTGCTCCTCTACACATCTGTGTATAGAGTCACATGTCTGCTCCTCTACACACCTGTGTATACAACGACTCCTCAGATCTGGTCACAAGATCATTTCTTTAGTTAAATTTTGTCTTAAGGCAAAGATATAGCGTTATCCCTCAGGTCCCCTTACTGTGCTGGGGCCAGATTCACGAAAGCACTTACGAACGTGTACATCTTTCCTCAATCTTTGACGGCTTTGGTTACATTTAGTAAACAGTTTACAAGCATGAAAACTTGCCATTCAAATGTTGTTATTGTTATAAACAGCCTCCTGGTGCTTCGGAGCTCATTAACTGTTTAATAATTGGAAACAAAGCCGCCAAAGATTGAGAAAAGATGTACAGGTTCGTAAGTGTTTGCGTAAGTGCTTTCGTGAATCTGGCCCCTGGTCTCTGTATGTCCAACACTTCACAGCTTCCATCACCCTTGCCTCAGTCCATCCCTTTCTTTCCCTCCTTCTGTTTCCCTTCTTCACTTTCTCTCCCTCTCTCTCAATCCCCATTTCTTGCTCTCCATGCTTCCTCGTCTCACACTCTCTCTCTCTTCCCTCGTCCCACACTCTCTCTTCCCTCGTCCCACACTCTCTCTTCCCTCGTCCCACACTCTCTCTCTCTTCCCTCGTCCCACACTCTCTTCCCTCGTCCCACACTCTCTCTCTTCCCTCGTCCCACACTCTCTCTTCCCTCGTCCCACACTCTCTCTCTTCCCTCGTCCCACACTCTCTCTCTCTTCCCTCGTCCCACACTCTCTCTCTCTTCCCTCGTCCCACACTCTCTCTCTTCCCTCGTCCCACACTCTCTCTCTCTTCCCTCGTCCCACACTCTCTCTCTCTTCCCTCGTCCCACACTCTCTCTCTCTTCCCTCGTCCCACACTCTCTCTCTCTTCCCTCGTCCCACACTCTCTCTCTCTTCCCTCGTCCCACACTCTCTCTCTCTTCCCTCGTCCCACACTCTCTCTCTCTTCCCTCGTCCCACACTCTCTCTTCCCTCGTCCCACACTCTCTCTCTCTTCCCTCGTCCCACACTCTCTCTCTCTTCCCTCGTCCCACACTCTCTCTCTTCCCTCGTCCCACACTCTCTCTCTCTTCCCTCGTCCCACACTCTCTCTCTCTTCCCTCGTCCCACACTCTCTCTCTTCCTTCCTCGTCTCCTCTGCTATGGTGTGCCCAGCTCACGCTAGTGGCTCTCTAGGGGGTGTAGAGGGTCTCGTCATCCGCGGGTGATCTGTCAAGCGTGTGTGGACCGCCAGTAACCGGGCCCCACGCCCTATCCACGCCCTCCACGCGACAATAAAAGAGGTGAGGTGATGGATTACACCCATGAATAATGAGGCCAGACGGACACATGCATGGGGGACTGGTGGAGGAGTTAGGTGGAGGATAGGTCGCTGTTGCTACTGTTGAAGCTACTTGCTGGTGTTCCTGTTGTGTTGCTTCACTGTTGCTGTCAGGCTTGGCGGGGTAAATGGTGTTTAGTACCTGTGGTAGCTTTTCTCAGTCTTAGCTTCTGGTAATGGGTTATTATTTACTGTTGTTAGGCGATGTTGTTATTGAATATTTTAATTTTAGAGGTGGATTCTGTTGGCTGTATTTTATGCCTGTTGTAGCTGTTGGTCGGTGTGGTTATTATGGTAGCGGATTATGTTGTGGTTGTTATACTTGATTAGTTATTGTTTAATGTTAGATGGTTATTGGTGGCTTGCTGCTGATTGGATATGGCTGACGTTGGTAGTGGTGGTGTTAGTGGTTGCTGGTAATGGAGGGTGGTGATGGTAGTGGTGGTGGAAGTTGTTAATAGTGGTGGTGGTTAATGATAGTGGTTGTCGATAATGATGGATGTGGTTGATGCAGTTGATGATGATGATGGTGACTCCTAGAGACAGATGATGGATGAGTGGTGTTGTGGTTCCTGAATGGGAATAGTGGATGAGAGCGGTGCCGACAAGGGCCTTCTGACGGTGGAATATAGGGACGGGGGAGGGTAGTGGAGGGTGGGGGAGGCCTGAGGGAGAGATCGTTCAGGTCAACGGGTGCTAAGAGTAACTAGGGGTATGGAACAGGGGTTAACTATCGGTTTAGTTGGTCGAGGGAGTACGTAAACACCACCCCCGCCCCCCCCCCCACCTTGTGTTAAGTGCCTGGGCCTGGGAGGAGGAACTGTTTTTTAATTGTTCTTTGTTTCCGCAACAAGATAAGTTCTCTTCAGTTGAGTGACGGTTGAGAGGCGGGAACCAAAGAGCTAAAGCTCAACCCCCGCAAGCACAACTAGGTGAGTACTGGAGCCTCGTCCAATAAAACACATGTACAAGGCATATAAACAAAACAAGGTAATGGTAAACATAAAAGTAACAATAAAAATACTCGATATACAGAGCACTAAACACAGTTGAAAACACTACACACAGAGATCACACTAACGTGATGCATCAAATGAACAAATCCACAAGGGCCGTGACGAGGATTCGAACCTGCGTCCGGGAGCATCCCAGACACTGCCTTAATCGACTGAGCTACGACAGGGTAAAAGAATTGAAACCAAAGTTCTACTGAACTTACTGGATCCTCTTACTGGTCGCATGCCACATAGTTGAAAACATAATTAACTAAAAGCCAGGAGAGATATTTATTAAGTATTTAACGCACTACCAACCAGGATATCGGCCACTCTTTTAATACAATAATATTGAGAACATATGGAGGTCAGGGGTCACATGCCACCACCCTTGGGGTGGGGGTCAGGGGTCACATGCCACCACCCTTGGGGTGGGGGTCAGGGGTCACATGCCACCACCCTTGGGGTGGGGGTCAGGGGTCACATGCCACCACCCTTGGGGTGGGGGTCAGGGGTCACATGCCACCACCCTTGGGGTGGGGGTCAGGGGTCACATGCCACCACCCTTGGGGTGGGGGTCAGGGGTCACATGCCACCACCCTTGGGGTGGGGGTCAGGGGTCGCATGCCACCACCCTTGGGGTGGGGTACAAATCTGTTGTCGTGGAGCCAGATTCACGAAGCAGTTACGCAAGCACTTACGAACCCGTACATCTTTTCTCAATCTTTGGCGGGTTTGTTCCCAATTATTAAACAGTTAATGAGCTCGGAAGCACCAGGAGGCTGTTTATAACAATAACAACAGTTGATTGGCAAGTTTTCATGCTTGTAAACTGTTTAATAAATGTAACCAAAGCCGTCAAAGATTGAGGAAAGATGTACACGTTCGTAAGTACTTGCGTAACTGCTTCGTGAATCTGGCTCTAGGAAGACACAGCTGGTGTTGTAGTGTTGTGAGGTCCCTGCTGGTCGCCAGAGGTCCCTGCTGGTCGCCAGAGGTCCCTGCTGGTCGCCAGAGGTCTCTGCTGGTCGCCAGAAGTCCCTGCTGGTCGCCAGACGTCCCTGCTGGTCGCCAGAGGTCCCTGCTGGTCGCCAGAGGCCCCTGCTGGTCGCCGGAGGTCCCTGCTGGTCGCCAGAGGTCCCTGCTGGTCGCCAGAGGTCCCTGCTGGTCGCCAGAGGTCTCTGCTGATCACCAGAGGTCGCTGCTGATCGCCAGAGGTCCCTGCTGGTCGCCAGAGGTCCCTGCTGGTCGCCAGAGGTCCCTGCTGGTCGCCAGAGGTCCCTGCTGGTCGCCAGAGGTCTCTGCTGATCACCAGAGGTCGCTGCTGATCGCCAGAGGTCCCTGCTGGTCGCCAGAGGTCCCTGCTGATCGCCAGAGGTCCCTGTTGGTCGCCAGAGGTCCCTGCTGATCGCCAGAGGTCCCTGCTGGTCGCCAGAGGTCCCTGTTGGTCGTCAGAGGTCCCTGCTGGTCGCCAGAGGTCCCTGCTGGTCGCCAGAGGTTCCTGCTGGTCGCCAGAGGTCCCTGCTGGTCGCCAGAGGTCCCTGCTGGTCGCCAGAGGCCCCTGCTGGTCGCCGGAGGTCCCTGCTGGTCGCCAGAGGTCCCTGCTGGTCGCCAGAGGTCCCTGCTGGTCGCCAGAGGTCTCTGCTGATCACCAGAGGTCGCTGCTGATCGCCAGAGGTCCCTGCTGGTCGCCAGAGGTCCCTGCTGGTCGCCAGAGGTCCCTGCTGGTCGCCAGAGGTCCCTGCTGGTCGCCAGAGGTCTCTGCTGATCACCAGAGGTCGCTGCTGATCGCCAGAGGTCCCTGCTGGTCGCCAGAGGTCCCTGCTGATCGCCAGAGGTCCCTGTTGGTCGCCAGAGGTCCCTGCTGGTCGCCAGAGGTCCCTGCTGGTCGCCAGAGGTCCCTGTTGGTCGCCAGAGGTTCCTGCTGGTCGCCAGAGGTCCCTGCTGATCGCCAGAGGTCCCTGCTGGTCGCCAGAGGTCCCTGTTGGTCGTCAGAGGTCCCTGCTGGTCGCCAGAGGTCCCTGCTGGTCGCCAGAGGTCCCTGCTGGTCGCCAGAGGTCCCTGCTGATCGCCAGAGGTCCCTGCTGATCGCCAGAGGTCCCTGCTGGTCGCCAGAGGTCCCTGTTGGTCGTCAGAGGTCCCTGCTGGTCGCCAGAGGTCCCTGCTGGTCGCCAGAGGTCCCTGCTGATCGCCAGAGGTCCCTGCTGGTCGCCAGAGCTCCCTGTTGGTCGCCAGAGGTCCCTGCTGGTCGCCAGAGGTCCCTGCTGGTCGCCAGGGGTCCCTGCTGATCGCCAGAGGTCCCTGCTGGTCGCCAGAGGTCCCTGCTGATCGCCAGAGGTCCCTGCTGATCGCCAGAGGTCCCTGCTGGTCGCCAGAGGTCCCTGCTGGTCGCCAGAGGTCCCTGTTGGTCGTCAGAGGTCCCTGCTGGTCGCCAGAGGTCCCTGCGGAACATATCAACGTTGGAGAGAGCATAATTTCTTATTTCATTGTTTTATATCATACTTAACAATGGACATATCTTACTGTTTTTAATAACAACACATGACCAATAATAACCCATAGTTGAATCAATATTATACAATCAGTATTATCAGAAAAATGTTTACAACGAAATTGGTTAAATTATGTGGGTCACCGCGGCTCAGGGGCCAAATTCACGAAGCATTTACGCAAGCACTTACGAACCTGTCCATCTTTTCTTAATCTTTGGCGGCTTTGTTTACAGTTATTAAGCAGTTAATGAGCTCCGAAGCATCACGAGGCTGTTTATAACAATAACAACAGTTGATTGGGAAGCTTTCAAGCTTGTAAACTGTTTAATAAATATAACCAAAGCCGTCAAAGATTGATGAAAAGTGTACACGTTCGTAAGTTCTTGCGTAACTGCTTGGTGAATCTGCCCCCCTGGGGCCAGATTCACGAAAGCACTTACGGCAGCATTTACGAACCTGTACATCTTTTCTCAATCTTTGGCGGCTTTGTTTTCAATAATTAAACAGTTAATGATCTCCGAAGCACTAGGAGGCTGTTTATAACAATAACAACAGTTGATTGGCAAGTTTTCATGTTTGTAAACTGTTTAATAATTGGAAACAAAGCCGCCAAAGATTGAGAAAAGATGTACAGGTTCGTAAGTGCTGCCGTAAGTGTTTTCGTGAATGTGGCCCCAGGTCTGCACTAGTGCCGGGCCACCACCACCACGGCGACGTGTTGTCAGTGGTGGTTCAGTAACCTTGTCACACGCTGGCTTTATGTGTGCGTGTGTGGGTGGTGGAACATTGTGAGTGGAGTGGACGAGGCTATTGTGGGTGTGGCCACGGCTGCCTGCACACTGCCAGGCCGCCTGCACGGAGAGCTCGGGTTGCAGCCTCTCCTGTTACCACCCATTGTGGCCCCCTCCCTCACACCTCACCTGCCTCACTGCTACACTGTACTCCTCCTGCTTTTGTTGCTCGTTGAGGAGAGGCTGTGACGGGAGGGGTGTACCGGGGTTACGTTTGCATGCGTAAACACGGCATAAACGCTCGCATGCCTGAGCGCACGTGCTCACACACACACGCACGCGCCAACGGTGACGCACGGGACATGGTTACGACATACAAGGTATGTCGTGACCATGTCCACACGTGTAAAGTGGACAGGGACCGACAGTTCCAATTCAAGAGCAGGTCAGGTCCACTACACGGTACATGCCATCAACCACCACAGGCACACACTACCCCGCTACCACAGTGTGCTCCTCCCCCCCTCCCCCCAACCACGCACACACCGTGCGCACCCCCTTCCCCCGCACGCGCACTGGAGGTGGAGGAAGGATGGAATAGATGGGGTATGGCGCATTGCTATGGAGGCTCTGGAGGAGGGGGGGGGTGAGGGGTGTGGAGGAGGGGGGTGAGGGGTCTGGGGATGGGGGAGGGGGGCAGGTGGTACAGCCAGGGGGGGGGGGGGTGGACAGGGATCACCACCGCTCCGTCACCTCCTGGTCGTCCAGGCGTGACAGGACCGGTGAAAATACTCGCGATATTACACCGAATTGCGCTTGTTAGCCGGTCACTGCGTTAGGGAGGGGGGGGGGGAGGGTACCTTATCTTGCGATGATTTCGGGGCTCAACGTCCCCGCGGCCCGGTCCTCGACCGGGGCTCCCAATGGGAAGTGTGTGGCGGTGGTGGATATAGGAAAGGTTGGAGAACACTTCCACATGTGCTACAAATATGCACAGGTCCTCCCCCCCCCCTTTCAATCCCCCCCACTCCCAATCCCACAAACATACAGGACATGTTAGGCTTATATTCAGGTCCTCCCCCCCCAGGGCCCAATTACTGAAACCCCCCCCAGTAAACAACCCCACAACAACCTCATTAACTCCTGGGTACCTATTTACTGCTAGGTGGACAGGGGCATTAGGTGATAGGAAGCACGCCCAACCAGTTTTGTCCTGCCCGGTATTCGAACCTGGAATTCTGGATTGTGAGTCGAGAACGAACCCCACTGTGCTACCGGGAGCGTTCTGATTATCCTAATTAATAATTTACTAATCCTTTCACGTATAGTTGGTGCCCCCTGCTGCCTGGTGCCCCCTGCTGCCCGGTGCCCCCCTGCTGCCTGGTGCCCCCTGCTGCCCGGTGCCCCCCTGCTGCCCGGTGCCCCCCTGCTGCCCAGTGCCCCCCTGCTGCCTGGTGCCCCCTGCTGCCTGGTGCCCCCCTGCTGCCTGGTGCCCCCTGCTGGCCGGTAACCCCTGCTGCCTGGTGCCCTCTGTTGCCTGGTGCCCCCTGCTGCCCGGTGCCCCCTGCTGCCCGGTGCCCCCTGCTGCCCTCTGCTGCCTGGTGCCACCGGCTGCCTGGTGCCCCCTGCTGCCTGGTGCCCCCTGCTGCCTGGTGCCCAGTGCTGCCTGGTGCACCCTGCTGCCCGGTGCCCCCCTGCTGCCCAGTGCCCCCCTGCTGCCTGGTGCCCCCTGCTGCCCGGTGCCCCCCTGCTGCCCGGTGCCCCCCTGCTGCCTGGTGCCCCCTGCTGCCCGGTGCCCCCCTGCTGCCCGGTGCCCCCCTGCTGCCCAGTGCCCCCCTGCTGCCTGGTGCCCCCTGCTGCCTGGTGCCCCCCTGCTGCCTGGTGCCCCCTGCTGGCCGGTAACCCCTGCTGCCTGGTGCCCTCTGTTGCCTGGTGCCCCCTGCTGCCCGGTGCCCCCTGCTGCCCTCTGCTGCCTGGTGCCACCGGCTGCCTGGTGCCCCCTGCTGCCTGGTGCCCCCTGCTGCCTGGTGCCCCCTGCTGCCTGGTGCCCCCTGCTGCCTGGTGCCCAGTGTTGCCTGGTGCACCCTGCTGCCCGGTGCCCCCTGCTGCCCGGTGCCCCCTGCTGCCTGGTGCCCCCTGCTGCCTGGTGCCCCCTGCTGCCTGGTGCCCCCTGCTGCCTGGTGCCCAGTGCTGCCTGGTGCCCCCTGCTGCCCGGTGCCCCCTGCTGCCTGGTGCCCCCTGCTGCCTGGTGCCCCCTGCTGCCCGGTGCCCCCTGCTGCCCGGTGCCCCCTGCTGCCCGGTGCCCCCTGCTGCCCTCTGCTGCCTGGTGCCACCGGCTGCCTGGTGCCCCCTGCTGCCTGGTGCCCCCTGCTGCCTGGTGCCCCCTGCTGCCTGGTGCCCAGTGCTGCCTGGTGCACCCTGCTGCCCGGTGCCCCTGCTGCCTGGTGCCCCCTGCTGCCTGGTGCCCCCTGCTGCCTGGTGCCCCCTGCTGCCTGGTGCCCCCTGCTGCCTGGTGCCCCCTGCTGCCCGGTGCCCCCTGCTGCCTGGTGCCCCCTGCTGCCTGGTGCCCCCTGCTGCCCGGTGCCCCCTGCTGCCCGGTGCCCCCTGCTGCCCGGTGCCCCCTGCTGCCCGGTACCCCCTGCTGCCTGGTACCCCCTGCTGCCCGGTGCCCCCTGCTGCCCGGTGCCCTCTGCTGCCCGGTGCCCTCTGCTGCCCGGTGCCCCCTGCTGCCCGGTGCCCCCTGCTGCCCGGTGCCCCCTGCTGCCTGGTGCCCCCTGCTGCCTGGTGCCCCCTGCTGCCTGGTGCCCCCTGCTGCCCCCTGCTGCCTGGTGCCCCCTGCTGCCTGGTGCCCCCTGCTGCCCGGTGCCCCCTGCTGCCCGGTGCCCCCTGCTGCCTGGTGCCCCCTGCTGCCTGGTGCCCCCTGCTGCCTGGTGCCCAGTGCTGCCTGGTGCCCAGTGCTGCCTGGTGCCCAGTGCTGCCTGGTGCACCCTGCTGCCCGGTGCCCCCTGCTGCCTGGTGCCCCCTGCTGCCTGGTGCCCACTGCTGCCTGGTGCACCCTGCTGCCCGGTGCCCCCTGCTGCCCGGTGCCCCTGCTGCCCGGTGCCCCCTGCTGCCTGGTGCCCCCTGCTGCCTGGTGCCCTCTGCTGCCTGGTGCCCCCTGCTGCCTGGTGCTGCCTGGTGCCCCCTGCTGCCTGGTGCCCCCTGCTGCCTGGTGCCCTCTGCTGCCTGGTGCCCTCTGCTGCCTGGTGCCCCCTGCTGCCTGGTGCTGCCTGGTGCCCCCTGCTGCCTGGTGCCCCTGCTGCCTGGTGCCCCCTGCTGCCCGGTGCCCCCTGCTGCCCGGTGCCCCCTGCTGCCCGGTGCCCCCTGCTGCCCGGTGCCCCCTGCTGCCCGGTGCCCCCTGCTGCCTGGTGCCCCCTGCTGCCCGGTGACCCCTGCTGCCCGGTGCCCCCTGCAGCCTGGTGCCCCCTGCTGCCTGGTGCCCCCTGCTGCCTGGTGCCCCCTGCTGCCCGGTGCCCCCTGCTGCCCGGTGCCCCCTGCTGCCTGGTGCCCCCAGCTGCCTGGTGCCCCCTGCTGCCCGGTGCCCCCTGCTGCCCGGTGCCCCCTGCTGCCCGGTGCCCCCTGCTGCCTGGTGCCCCCTGCTGCCTGGTGCCCCCAGCTGCCTGGAGCTCCCAGCTGCCTGGTGCCCCCTGCTGCCTGGTGCCCCCTGCTGCCTGGTGCCCCCAGCTGCCTGGAGCTCCCAGCTGCCTGGTGCCCCCTGCTGCCTGGTGCCCCCTGCTGCCTGGTGCCCCCAGCTGCCTGGTGCCCCCTGCTGCCTGGTGCCCCCAGCTGCCTGGAGCTCCCAGCTGCCTGGTGCCCCCTGCTGCCTGGTGCCCCCTGCTGCCTGGTGCCCCCAGCTGCCTGGAGCTCCCAGCTGCCTGGTGCCCCCTGCTGCCTGGTGCCCCCTGCTGCCTGGTGCCCCCTGCTGCCTGGTGCCCCCTGCTGCCTGGTGCCCCCTGCTGCCTGGTGCCCCCTGCTGCCTGGTGCCCCCTGCTGCCTGGTGCCCCCAGCTGCCTGGTGCCCCCTGCTGCCTGGTGCCCCCTGCTGCCTGGTGCCCCCCTGCTGCCCGGTGCTCCCTGCTGCCCGGTGCCCCCTGCTGCCTGGTGCCCCCTGCTGCCTGGTGCCCCCTGCTGCCTGGTGCCCCCAGCTGCCTGGTGCCCCCAGCTGCCTGGTGCCCCCTGCTGCCTGGTGCCCCCTGCTGCCTGGTGCCCCC